GTTGTCCGATTTGTTCCCGGTCAGGAGGTATACCTGAAAAATAATGGGCTAGGTGACTTCAAAAATAATAGAAACGCGAAATTTTGCAAGAAATTCGTTAAATGTCTAGTCACTAAGCCAGTGGGGAACAATACAGGGTGAGATGAAAAAACTGCAACCAATTTCAGACTGCTGTCATTTCTAAGCCAGAAAGAAGCGACTTGATGGAAACTCGCGTGGCAGTGAAAAGCCGAAAAATGGCTTGTGAGTTAAACATACCCCAATATGCCATTCGGCAAGAACTTACACCGCAACCGAAAGAAAATAGACTCAAAAGAGGTTGTTGTTGTTGTTGTAGCAGTAGTACATGTATGTGTTTGCGTTCTGCTAATATGGTTCCAGCTCCAGGTTTAGAAATTCGGCTATTTTAACGGGCTGTAGCCAGAGATCTTCTGGAGTGAGTTGGGTAGGTTTGGCTGAGCAATTTAAAAGGTGTAGCGTATTGTGCGGGATTGTATCGCACGCCGGGGACGGCATTCACTTTATAACTGCTAATAGCATCCGTGACTGCATCGGTGTGAATGCCACTCAGACCTGTCTGATAGGCCTCTTGATCTAGAGGTTCTCTCTTGTAGCGCTAGCAGAGCAATTTGTATTGTGTCTAGGATGGTTGGTATTGAAAATTAGATATATCGGTCCACGTTTTGGCATAGTCCCCATATAATAGTAGGTTAAAATGGGTCCTAGTTCGTGTGACGAGTCATTGTATGTATAGGTCCACGCTTTGAAATAGCCCCCATATAAAGGTAACTCCCGATATTCGGTACTTTGATTATTTTTGCCACATTTTTTCACGGATTTGTCTAAAAATTGGTATTTGTTGGCCATTATGGGTTCGAGCTCCGGTGGCGAAACATCGCATGCATAGGTCCACCAATCGGTGTAGCCCCCATATAACGGTACCTCCCGAAATTCGGTATTTTGATGATTTTTGGCACATTTTTTCAGTGATTTGTCTGAAAATTGGTATTTGTTGTTGTTGTAGCAGTAGTACATGCAAGTGTTTGCGTTCTGCTAATCTGGTTCCAGCTCCAGATTTAGAAATTCGGCTACTTTAATGGGCTGTAGCCAGAGATCTTGTGGAGTGAGTTGGGTATGTTTGGCTATGCAATTAAATAGGCGCAGGGTATTGTGCGGGCCTATATCACACACCGGGCAAGCGTCACGAACATCTTCATCAATTTGTGCCCAATACGAATTGAGACGACTACACCATCCTGAACGTAATTGCGCCAAAACTACCCTGGTTTGTCAAGGCAGCTGACGTTCTTCGGCTGCAATGGATGGGGTGGACTCCGAGGACGGCGTTCGTTTTATAATTGCTAATAGCATCTGCGACTGCGTCTGTATGAATGCCATTCAGACCTGCCTGATAGGCTTCTTGATCTAGAGGTTCTCTCTTGTAGCGCTGGACCTCCCTCTCTAGATCATGTATGTCCTTCCTGACACGCCTGGGTGGAGGAGATTTATCCACCATATGATGGTTGGGATGACTCTCACGTTAACATCCAAGCAGGTACTGCAACGAATGCATATGATTATGCTGACGTAAGGGAAGGACTTTCGCCTCCTCATGTAGATGGTCCGCTGGTGTCATGAGAAGGCACCCTGTCGCAGTTCTCAGGGCAGCGTTCTGGCAGGTCTGGATGTGCTTCCACTGCGTAGCACTAGTATTCGCAGACCACACTGGAGCCGCATAGCTGACCACAGACCGACCTATCGCGTTGTAAGAGGTCAACAAGGTTTCTTTATCCGCACCCCAAGTGCTTCTGGCTAGCGCCTTAAGGACCTTGTTCCACTTCTCATCTTGTCGCAGATAGCTGTGGCTTGCGAGGATGACTTGAACATGCTGTCGAATGTGACCCCTAGAATCTTGGGGTAGTTCGTGGTCTGTATTAGATTCCCCTCGACCTGCACATTCAGCTGTGTTCTCATCTCCGCAGACCATGTGTTAAAGAGTGTGGCCGTTGATTTCGTGGCGTATATTTTCATATTCCTCGCGTGGAAGTATGCGGCAAGCTCCGCGAGATAGGGATTCAGCCTTTCACATATATCTGCATACGTTACGATCTCTATGCCGCCTGGAGGGCGAGGAATTCCAGAAAGGTAGAGGTTAAACAGTTCCGGAGATATCACCCCACCTTGGGAACTCCCTGTTTCACTCTACGGGCTTTGGACTTCTTGTTCCGGAATTCCGCGTACGACTGGTGTCCACACATATAGTTGATTATCCAACGTTTCAAACTTGGCCGGAGGGTAGTTCTCTGTACGTCCTCAAACAGTATGGCATGATTGACCGTATGAAATGCCTTTGATATGTCAAGGGCTACCAACACTGTTCTGTCACACGGCCTGTTCTGGTTCAGTCCTCTACCAATATGTGTGGAAATGGCGTGTAGTGCTGTTATGGACGGAATCCGTGCTGGTTCCTAATGCTGGGGAGGAGTAAAGCCTCAAGAGTCTTGGCTACTGGCGACAAAAGCGAAATCGGCCTGTACGATTCGCCTTTACTGTCATCCGTGACTTCCACTGTCAAATCACTTATTCTAGGATCAGTAGGTTGGTACGACGCTCGTTTGCAAATCCCGCTGCCTCTGCTGAGAAGTTTGGTCTTATCGACCAGCAAGCGGCTGCTGCTTTGTTGATGATTCGGAAAATCCTGCACCTCTACCTCGGCAGTTCCACACTTGACTGCTACCCCCATACATTCCATGTATAGGTCACTAGAAACTAGCTCAACCGAGATATGTCTGTACTGAACAGAATGGTGTAACAGCATCCACCTGCGATACTTCCTTAGTACGTTGTAACCATAACAAGGTTTATAGGCTGCAATTTTCATTCATCGTGGTTTCCGCTGCGATCTTAATATTCCTCCGATTCTTATATTCCACTATCCCATCTTTTTTGCCTTGGAGTCCGTTGCAATTGCATTGCAAAAACGATGCACAATCCAGAGTTAGAACAGTAACTTTTGGCGTTAGATACTGCGGTGTTGATTGCTGTTCTGGACACTGCGGTGGAGTTCCATACTCCGACAACCCTTTGATGAGAACGACGAAGAAGTGCGGCGACTACGTTACTGCGGCACCTCGCAACATAATCCCAATTTTTGAGGTTTTCCTCAATCCAGACACGGACCAATAAAATCCGGAGCTAGCATTCCAGGATATGCTGCTCCCAATGCAGAAAAGTAAACAAACACAAACATGTGCATACTGGATTGGCAGCCGTTGGCCGAAACTGGGATGTTATTGTTTCGGTTCAATCCAGTATCGTAGAACCCGCTGCGGTAGGATTGGTGGTGAGTGGTTGGAAATTTAAATGAATTGTTGGTGTGATATATAGGTAGGTAATCCTACGCATGGTAATGGGTAATGTTGTTGTTGAGAGCAATAAGAAATAAAAAGGGAAAAATATGTCTCAACAAAGCAGTACATTTGTTGTGGATTATTACTTTATTCTACAACAAATAGATGTACGCTATTACACTTGTTTTCAAAAATATCGATATTTCACATAACTTATATTTCTTGAAAAGGTGGTATGTCAATGACATTCCCTCTTGCACTATTCTGAAATATGGTAGTGTTACCCTTATTATGTTATCACATCCTAGGATAATGTCGCATGTACTGTCCATTTCCTTCAACAGATCCAAAACATCTCTGAGTCCGGGTCTTCGTAGGGCACCACAACTTTATGTCAGACACCTTATCCACCACAGAAGTGAATCTTCCTCATCCCAAAGCTTGAGCAGTCCCCCTCGACTTCTTAGATAGGTTATTGTGTCTCCATACCCACGATCGATAGAGATGCTGACAGAGAGTGCAATGAGCACTCAACAAACAAAATATATAAAAAAATTGTTGAATTCGACGTAGTATAATGATTTCAACGTCGGCACCATGGACTAGTGGTATTATTTATTGATAAATATGAAGACAGTATCTTAAAGTTGTTATGGTAACGTTTTGCATTCGCAAATTATTCTTGATTTTACTATATTTTTATAAATTTTATGCCTAAATGGAAAATTGACGTTTCCTTTCTTAAGATTACAGGCAACTACGTTTGTCGATTGAAGATTATGTTTTTTGGAAATTATTGGTTGTGTTTTTTGGGGTTATGTTTTTACTCCATGGGATATGGCTTAATCACTATAAGACAAAATGTCGATGGGGTTTGATAATGTCTCAATTGTGTTGGATTTTAACTCAAATTTGTTAAATCCGCAGAATGCACACATTTTCACATTTATTTGTTACATATTGGCCTCTTTTCACTATCTATTTGAGAACTTTTTATGAGAACTTCAATAGTTTTTATTATTTTTGATCTTATTCTCTTTGTGGAGATGTAAATGTGTTAAAAATGTTCTACAATGTATATTGTAGATTGATTTTTGTCTTCGTCATTTATTGTTCTTTATACGATCGACTAGCGGTAAGTAAGCTGCACCTAAACAGCTTACTTACCGCTAGTCGATCGTATAACTTACTAATGTTGTGAAAAGGAGATGGTGGATTTGTTTTTCTCTTTTATTATTTTTTCTAAGTAAAATTGAGCATGTAAAAGTAGTAGCATGGTTGCCAGCATTTGACTGGCATAGTTGTTTATTTTGTTTTTTTCCTGTAAGCGGCAAAATAGTTATTTCAGAGCAAATTTAACAATTCTTTCTTATACTAATTTTACCATCAAAGAATTACATGAGTTTTAGTTGTTAATTTGTAGGTAATATAATGTTAAGATGATGTGTACTTTTTCCTAAAGATTCTCAATTAAGGTTAGTATATTAGTCAATATTTCAACTAAACCAACTTTTAAATAGATTTTGCCTATCCACATACAGATGTTTTTCTATTCAGTTGAAAGAGTTGATTATTAATAGTTTTATTTTAAATACATTTACAACATGTAGTGAAATTTATATATAATTTGAATTGTCTTTCAATTTTTAGGAAAGGAAAGGTACCTTCAGTTAAGTCAACAGCTTACCGAGAAACAAAATATTTTATATATGTGCGTATTTATCGCTGAACAATGCTTGTATCTACTTTGGAGTCATCTTGATTATTATATGAGATTTTCAACTACAACAAAGACTGTATCAAATGTATACGAGGAATCTGGATACAAAGACGGTACGTAATTCAAATTTTAAAGTAAAACTTGAATTTATAAATTAAAATTGAATATAAATAATGCCGTGTTTTTATTCGTTAGATATTGTTAATGAATATAAGTGTAACAGCGATGATCTGGACAAATTGAAAAAGAAACTTGTATTGGTATTTAATGAAACGTTTTCGAGACAGTTATGTATAACATCTGACACTTTTGAGAACAAGGAAGCACCGTTTAATATTGCCCTCTTGCGTAGAATAAAATCACTTATACAATATTATCCAACTAAATAATTTGATGTTATTAGAATTGTGAAATAAAAATTGATCTACAAATAAAATGTATAATATAAAAAGTATTTCCAATTTAATTTTAGCTATATTTTTGTACCACGAGACAGTAAAAGATATATTATTGATAGTGTTTTATGCATTCCTCTTTTTTTTTTTTTTGTTAATTTCGCTGTTAGAAAACTAGTGTCATAAAATAAACTGACCTAGTAGTTCCACTTCAACTAGCTATTCATTTTTATCTTCTTTTTGTCTTCATTTACCTATGAGAAACCAGTCTGTAAGAAAATGTGTAAAAGATAGGACGTTAACGTCTAGCTAAGTGCACAGATAATTTAATAAGGTAGACTCCTAAATTTAAATTTCTAATTTCTGACTCCTGTCTAGTGGTACTTATGGTTGTAGTAGTGTTGGTTTCTTATCATTGGTACTGCTCTTTTTACAAGGAGACAATACGTTTTTATCTGAACGAAAATAAAATATTTATTCCCCATAACCTTTAAAACAAATGTTCTGTTCCAGAACCTGCAAGAATCCAATAGTTTTGACATTTTTTCGGTAGTTCGTCCTGCAAAACAATACGATGTCAAGTCATTCAAAGCGCTCGTTCCGGATGGTATTTCTATGGTGATATTTTGACTAAATTATGACTAAAAAGTCTCATCTGTTATCTTTGAAAAAGAGCTTCAACACATGTCGTTCATACTGTGAGAGAGCATAAGACTATTCACTTAATTCTCTCACAATACGAAATATTGAGTATTGAATAACGAAACAGTAACTTTGTTTACATTGACATTACCCATCTATTTCATAAAATATAAAAATATAGAACTTAAATAGCGGAAAAATTAATAAATTGTTTTCGAAGTCGAGTGACACTGGCCCAAGATCAATCACAGTGACATCTGCCGGAAGGGATAAATTTTAAAACTATGTAGTCTATACATTTATTTGTGTATGGTAAAAGGGTATTGTGATCCAACGAAGACAAGGTTTACTCCCCAGCTTTAGGGAGAGCCATGGTACAGTTACCAAGGTAATCTCTATTATGTCCCTTAATTGTCAAATTTATATTTCGTAGTTCTTCCTTAAATCTGGGCGTACGCTGGCAAGAGTTTTTCATTAATTTCAGAACAAATATTTTTAACATTTTTCACGCCTTTTAGAGGGTACAAAAGTCAGGTAACAATATTATCTAAAACAGAAAACTAAAATAATAGTCGGGTAAGTCATGTAGGACTTAATTGTCTGATGGTTGAATGACCATCGCCCGCCCGCACTCTTTGTTTGCTACAATACAGGTAAAAGGTTCTCATCTCTCATATTCATCTTATCTCGAATTGGCATTAAATGCGTTACAAGAAGTTGACAGTGTAAGTATTCGTTTCACTATAGAATTGATATAGCAGATATTGTCAAGGTTTTGGCAATATTTCTCAGCTGATAGTTCTGCGGATATGATCCTTAAAGGCGGACTTAAACTAAAACCGCATATGAAGCATACACAAGAACTAACACTGCCGAAAACGTTTCCTAAAGATAGATGGTTTGAAATATTTATCATTATATGCTTTAGTCCAAGAGCAGATAAATGAATTTGGTACTCCTGAGATATGGAATGTAAAACTATTTTTACGTGCCAAGAAACGCCGAAAATATAGGAACTCATATAATTTTAGTAAAATCTGCCACTTGTCATACGAAAATATTTTAAACATGAAAATAGATTTTATTTGAAAGGAAAGGGTTGGCACTGCCACTTGTCATACGAAAATATTTTAAACATGAAAATAGATTTTATTTGAAAGGAAAGGGTTGGCATATTCAATTTAGTATATGAGTTTGCCTTTTTTATTTGGCTATGGGGAGAGCTTTCTTGATTGATCACCAACTTGAATTACGGAATAAACGCAGCACAGCAAATTTCCAAAGTGTTCGATAAAAAATATTCCCAAATAAAATATTAAATTCAATACAAAACAAAAAAGGGCTTAGCTACGATCGTCCGTTTCGTTTGCTTAAGTGTCCGTCCGTCGGTTAGTCGCTTTTTCGTAATTTCCAACAGTGCTGGTTTCTCAGTGTGTGTAATAATTCTCTTCAAGAATATTACACTCATAATACATTTGCACATATTCGCTCTTTTTTACGATATACGCGTAAACAGAAAAAGTGTGGTGCAAATAAATAAGCAGTGATCTGTGATTTACATTGTTATTGTGATTGGTGCTTTGTGTTTTTCAACACAAAAGAGAAATAAAATAACAATAACAACATACCAGTGGTTAATACAACAACAACAATACGATCACATATCAGTACTGTGTACCACATCGTGTAATAGGTGTGTTCAGTACAAAAAGTGAAAATTGTTTATTAGGTCAGTTCGGGCCAAAATTTTAAAATATTTCTTTTTCATGAATTTTAATTTTTCTTAAAAGTTCTAACGGTTCTGTTGGAAATTAATTATTTCGTTATTGAATACACCCTACATTCGGTCGATTTGTATCTATCTTAAAAGCTTCGCCTAAAAAGTAAAATCCTTTGTTTGGGTCTTGCAATTGTTAGTTTTCGCTAACAAATAAAATCATTTACTTGAAATTTTCTACCAAAATTACAATTTTTTTTTATTTTATTTGATTTTCATCCAGTAAACTTTTTTATTATTCAAGATGTCACATTCTACACTTGATTATTTTATCAGATCAACTGATGCTATCATTCAATTCGAAGGCAACTTCAATGCTCTTCGAGATGAAGATATGGATATTTACATTATTGAAATTCAATCTTCTGAAGCTAAGTCTTTATTGGATAAAGTGAAAGATACGTATGTCAAAAGCCTTACTTCTATTAAATTTGCTGGCGAGGACCAAGAAACCGACCTCGAATCAGCACAAAGTAAATATAATGCTGCGTTTAAGGGATATGTCAACGTCATTGCATCAACAAATAGAAAATTGGATCAGCTTCGTGCTTCGCAAAAGCCCTCCAATTCTTCTTCCTCCAATCTATACGTTCAAACTCTGATCATTTATCCCAAACAAATCCTCCATAGAATTTGAATTCTAACTTTTGTAGTACTCTTAGAAGAGATGCCTCCCTCCTGATGACATTCTCTCGTTGTCTGGTGCTTCACAAGTTTCTGGTCAATTGAAGTTTTCTCTTCAAATGACAATGTTATGCATAGTTTAAATCTTCCGCCTTGCGGTATTGATGTTTTTATGGTGATTTTCTTTCTTGGCCTACATTCAGGGATCTTTTTTCGGCGGATTATGTCAACAACAGCCGCCTTAGTAACTGAAAAAAAAACTAGTGGTGAAGCAAAAGATGTAATATCAAAGTTCCCTTTGACGCATAGAAGTTTTGAGTTAGCGTGGCAAGTATTGAAGGAATCATATTACAATGTCCGCATATTAATTAACAATCAGCTTAAATTACTTTTTGATCTTCGGGTTCTTGACAATTTAGTCATATACGGATTTAAAAAATCTTCAGCGGGCAATCAATGGATGCATATCGGCTATCAAGATCTACGATGTTTCTACAAACGATTGGGATCCCATTTTGACCTAAAAACACCGTCTCATAGTGGGAACAGACTACCAAGAACAAATTGGCATTGTCATCTTGGAAGGATTTGGATCATTTCCTTACGGAACGGATTCAAACCCTTACGTGCCTTCGAGATATTCGTGGCATAGATTCCTCTAGAAAATGTGTAAAGAAGGTGCGAGCTCATTTTACGAAGACAGTTAGAGTGTGCGTTCTCTGCCCGAAATTGGTTCATCCTTTGCGTTTGTGTCCAGAATTCAAAAAAAAATATCAGTAGAAGGTCGCTTTTCAGTATTCAAACGGTTCAATTGTTGTATTAATTGTCTTACGATTGGTCATGAGGTCAAAAATATGTAATTAATCATAATCGCGGTAAATGCAACAAGCGGCATCACACCCTTTTACATCGATGTCCAATCCTGCAGTTCCCGTTCCATCAACGACTTCTTCGAGGTCGATTTCAAACCAACCTTCTTCCCAATCTAGCAATGCGAATTCAAATCTTCCCTCGACTTCGTCAGGTGTATCGCACTTTGCCAATAGGCAAGTGTATCACATTTCGCACAACAAAAATGTTATTTTAGGTACCAGCTTCCTTCATTACAGAAAACTTACATCGTCGTCTCGGTATTTCTACTACGTCGACACAAGCTACTATTTCTGGCATTTACCAAACCTTGTCCACAACATCAAGAAAATTGTGTTCGTTATGCATAGGTTCTCCTATCGATACATCAATATTCATGGAATTGTCAGCATTAGTGGTTCCCGCTATTTCTGGCAATTTACCATCTTTTTCACTTGGTGACTTAATTTCCCGTTTGGCTGATAGAAATTTCTTTGAATCTAGATCAGTTGATCTACTCCTAGGCGCTGATTTATATCCTATAATTCTTCTTCGAGGAATTCAATCCAACATTTTGGGGTCATTAATGACTCAAAATACTGTTTTTGGCTGGATAATTACAGGTCCAATTCCCTCTTCCACCATAACGGTATTACCTACCACACTAAATTATTCCGAAGATAATCTTAACAACACACTTCTTTCGGGAATTGGAAGAACCTCCAAAGCTCGCAATTCTGTCTCCTTCGGAAAAGTTTTGTGAGGAAAATTACAAAAGTACAACGTGTCGGGACTCAGATGGCAGATATATTGTCAAACTTCCGATTATACCAGAATTCTCAGGTCAGCTTGGTCATTTCAGGACCAATTGTTTACGTCAATTTTTCCGTAATGAGGCTTCCCTCATTAGAAAACCACAAATTAAAACCATTTACGATGGGGTGGTCCGAGAATATTTAGAATTAGACCACATGAGACTGGTTTCGACTTCGTCAGCAAGTTCTACGGTTTGCTATCTACCTCACCTTCCGGTTATTAATCCGGATAAACAAACAACTAAATTGCGTGTGGTTTTCAATGCCTCAAACAAGACTTCTAATGGAAATAGTCTAAATGATATTCTTTATGTCGGTCCAACTCTTCAGTTGGATTTAGACCTCCTTATTC